GTCCGAGCGAGACCTATAAGCAACGAGTCAGCTAATGCAGAAGGGTAAGTATGGTTAGCACGCACCTGGAGGATACCGGTACTGTCCATGGCTGGCGAAGTGGCGGGGAGGTTCCTACGGAGTAAACACCACTTGCATGGTGAGTTGCGATGAATCCAGAAGTCCCAAGGCGACAGAATAGTAATCCAGTGTTCGATCCAGTATTATCCAGAGGAAAGCCAGAGACAATGAAGGGAACTGATCATCCAGAACATCTTGTGCTCCTTTAACACCACTCAAGTTAGTTTCGGATCAATAGGTCGATGTGGATAGGCTAGAGCTATAGCCTCCAATACGTACTTCGTAAGTCCAACTGTCTCCAAATCAACTCCAAGACCATGGAAGGGTCTCATTAGCGTCCGGTGGGAAGTCCAGGTCAAGGTGTCCATGTCATTGTTCCTCTTGGCAGAGAAGTTCCTCGGTCTGGTCCATAACGGGTTCATCAGGATAGTGGCTTCCTTTGGAATGGATTGCGTACATTGATACTACCAGTCGTTTGTCGCTTAGCGCAGTCGAACAACAACATAAATTGAACGACATTGCTGAGAGTTGCCTACGTTGTCCTGAGGCGATGCAGGGTTGCATGCCTTTGTCGTATATCATTTTCGTAATAGTGCGTCGTAGCGCATGTGACTAGCGCGAGGATCCACTTGTGTCCGTTCACCGCCGTTTCGAGAGCATTACATCATTGCTCTGAAGTCGGGGCAGCGAGGCCTCGTGGTTGTCGTTTCTACAAACACTGCAAGGGCAGTGTGCTACGTCTCTCGAATCCTAGGAGGCTGATCCAGGGAAGCATCCGGTTTTGGTAACTGAAGAAAAGTGGCCATGTGGAACTCCATTACCGGGGCGGTAGATCCTCTGGAAGGTTGTCCTGTGGCATCCTTTGGGCATCCTTTTGTGGGCTGTAATGGCGGCAGAGCAAAAAGCAAACAACAGTAGGAAAGAAACACATGAATCTAGCAACACAGGATGTCGTAGTAGTCAAACGTAAGGAAACGCGTAAAGCAGAACATGAGTTGGGGGAAAACCGTTGGGCAGTAAGTACCTGGATAGGGCTCCGTCTGGGCTCCGAATTGTCATCCTGAGCAAGGGCTCTTTTTTTGTGGTCGTCGACTTTGATGTTCGTTTCTAGCAAATTGTGCAAGAAAAATCGCTGGGGGTTGCTTGTTGGCAGAGGCGATTGTCGATTTCGTGTGTTGGTGGTGTGGTGTTGAAGAGGGAGGGAGGAAACGAGCGGGACAAGAATGTGTGTGGGCGGGCAAGAGTGCTGACCGGTTGGTGGCTTAGTACGAGTGCCAACGCATAGGAGCGAGCCCCACAAGCATATCCCACGAGTAAAATCCTGTTGCGGTGCTTCGGCGGTTCCAAAACCAATGGGCCAAAATTCTTTTGCGGCTGGGTAGGGACGGGTGCACTTCTTATCAATTTGTGTCAAACGCTAACGTCACAGACATGGAGCTCGGTTCTCCAGTTACCCTGCGCCTTTCGCGACTCACAATGGGAGGACAGTGTTCCGAGTCGGCGAAATATTCTTGTCGCTCATGGGTTGAAATGTGGGAATCTAAACTGAATTGCAGTCAGGGGAATGCCGGGTTTGCAAAGTGGGAAACGATCGCTGCTGCCAACCACCAACCGCGACGCCGGAGGGCGGCTCGACAGCGCCGTCAAACCTGCAAAATCAGGGACTCTGGCAGCCGGTGGTGCACAAGATCGATTTGGTTCTCGTGTAGTCCCGCGATCAACAGAATTAAACTCTGCCGCGGCAATAATGCTCACAAATCATTGCGGCGATTTGCAGCGAAGCAGGGAGAGGCTGAGCGTTGCGCGGCTCCCGGCGAACGCGCAATAGCCCGGTACCTGTGATTGATACGATTTGGGCTATGGAACAACGGTGTCCCTCCCTCCCTTCAGCCGGCTCACCCGCAACGTTCCGCACTGACTGCCTCCTCGAATTTAATTTCCTCGTAAAGGAAAGTGACAGTGTGCGCGCGTAAAAGCGTGCACGTAGCTACCGAGAGGGCTACATCTGACATGGCTTCACGACAGATTACAGCGGCACCTGCATACATCACAGTGATACAACCCCACTGCGGTTGCCTCATTAAGCGTGTTCTGTAGCACACACATCGTCGGCGGCTTTGTGTAGGAAACCGCGCACAGCATTGAGCCTCTAGGTGTCTCGAACCGATGCGTCGCTTACCATGCAACGAGCTTCTGCCAGGCGCTGCATAGTAACTATGACCTACTTTGTGGTACAAGACTCAAGCGATATGGAATGTTCGGGAAGTCTATTCATTGTTAGAATGCGTTCGCACAACGAATGAAAATATGCAAGGGAGAGATTTAATGTCAGATAGGAGCGAAAGACATTGCTGAATTCGTTCCTCACTGTCCGAAGACTAAGATGAACTATGCTTTGAAATTTGTGGTATCATCAGGAAAGAGGAAAGGGGTTGGCGATCAGAATCATTGCTTCACGTACCTTTGCTGAGTGTTTGCGAATCCGAGTAGATGTCACCTCGTAGTCGCTAATTTCAAGCAGACGTTGAGGCAGTGCAATCGATGATACGCACTGTGTTTGCGCCAAATCTGTCTGAGGCTGCATTGAAGGGAAGGGAGGATGAGCCGCAACATGAGCAAGGAGACGGAACGGACGAGATTTTCTCTCATCGGCCCGGCTTTTCTATGCCCGAAGGATCGGCATGAGTACCTGCCAATCTTCACCTTGAAGAAACAGCTTGCTACCCAAAAGCGGGGAGCCTCAAACTCTAAAGACACGGGACAAAACGCGTGTCCTTTTGGATGGCGAGGTTGACTCAGGTTGCGCCGATGGCGGAAAGATTGGCGAGAGCCTGCAATCGAGAATTCAAGTGGCCTTAATGGTGAGGAAGAGTACTGCGGTGCAAACGCGAAAGACATTTCTTCCATTTTTCGCTTATCAAAAAGAGTATGGCGTGTTTCTTAGTCAGCCATCTACGTCATACACGTGACATGGCCACTCAGGCTTAGCGTCCCGTCGGCTCGCCGACCGTGAATTTGATAAAGGGTCTGGTACGACGCAACACAATGCACGACGAGCAGCAGTCCGACATGCCGTTGAGAATGACATCAGCGACGTTCAAAAAACAAAACAAATCTGTATCCTCCGAGAATCCAGTCAGTGTCCCTGTGGCCCGTCAGGTAGGCACAACGTCGAATGTAACCATGGCGATAAAGGCACTGTCAGCTCCGAAGCTTTGTACATGAAGGATTTGGTCGTGTTCATCATGTCAAAACGATCTGCGAGATAAGGCAACGCGCGTGGCTTCTTGACGGTTCCGTCTTCAAACACACCGTCGACCACGCCGTCATGGGCCCAGTCTACCCCAGGATCCTGCAGTAGTCGGTCTTGTCCCGATCTACCTCGAAAAGCTAGCGCGATCGATATACTATGAAAAGGCACAGACACGTGCCTCATGAGCTACCGTTCTAGACAAGCTATCCGCGTTTGGACTCTTGTAAGGTGTCTTCGAGACCACGACTGCTAGCATCGATCGACGTCATGTTCTGGGGTGTATGTTATCGGCGGTTCATGCTAGGGGATCCCGAGCCGTACATGAGGCGTATGAATCATCAAGAGCTCATTCGCTGGATAGCGACTCTTAGCTTCGAACAGCGAGGTCTAAAGCAGGTTGGTGTTCATCCGTTACCCTCTCATGTCATCGTTACAGATTTCAGGGTCCAAGCTGCACGTTTGGAATGCGGGGGATTCTCAGCGCCCTTGTGATTGGCACGATCACATATCGTCTGCGTAATGGTCAGGCCACGAGCGATCGTACCTTCGAAGACACTCAGCTGGAGAACGGTTATATGAAGCTGTGATTTCCTCTGGTGTCTAAACTTCATCAACACATCAGTTCATCCTTCAACAACAAGTAACCAAGTTCCATTCATACACAACTTTACACTTCAATCGATTGCCCTCATACCACAATGCCTTCTCCATTCCAGCAAAAGTACTCCACTCAGAGCCACAAGGTCTTTGGAGACAACACCACTCCAGCCATGCCAGAGGCACCTAAGCAGGAGGCCGACCGTCGCTCCTCAGAGTCGTCAGTCGGCTCCTCATCTTACGATGGACGCCGCAGGGTATGTATAGCAATTTCGTAGCCCACGGCTACAAATCTCACCGGAAACGTTCTAACACCTCTCAGTCTTCTGCCGCCCAGCGATTTGGAAACCTAGAAGCCCTTAAGCGTCGTCAAGACGAGGAGAGCATGGCTCGAAGGCAATCTTTCCACGATGCATATGGAAAGCCTGGCTTCCTTGGAACTCTGTGGAACAAGTACGTATTACCCAACCTGCTTGCTTCGATACTTGGCTAATGTTGCATAGCTTCACTCGTGGTCCCGTTAGCCCCCCTGGCCAGAAGTAGATTGTTCAGCGATTTTGGTATTTGTTTGGGTCCTCAAAGCCACTTCAACACACCATTGTGGTTAGGAATATTTAGCATGTTTATGCCTGGAGTTCAAGCTTGCAGCTACCGCATTCGCGCAAAAACAGCATAGCGATGATTTTGGTTAGTTTTCAAACGATCATAGGATATGTACCATAGTAAGAAGATGTATTATACTGCCAACAATTGTCTCGTTCACCATTCTGAAGACATCGTGATGTATGCGGGTTCTTGTCTTAGCAAAAGCTTAGGCTATGCGGGGATGGCCCATCAAACACCGATTGGTGTTCGCCAAAGTGACGTCGTGGCCAGAACACGTTAATTCACATGACGGTTTCTTGCACCAACAAAGGCACAGCCCCAAGTACCACTATAGCGACTTCACAAAGACCTTAGCAAAACTCGACTTGCCAACCGACACGTCAAGGGAGCGAGTGCCGACACGATACCCCACCAACACGCACATCTTCATCACTCTTGCCGCCTTTTTGCACCAACGTCCCAATATAGCACGCCCAGTCGAACAATGGCTACCAGATCTCGCTCACCAGGCTTTGGCGATACAACGAGCATCAATCTCAACCGCTTGTTGTCCAGATTAGACCGCCTAGTACTGGTCGACCCATCACCACAATTGCGAAAGTCAAACTATGAGCGCGCACGCGTGAGTGCGGTAAGCTTCACGCGCCTTTCTCTATCTCCGTCTGCATGTACTAATATCACTGCAGAACATCGAACATGCACGCACCTTACTCCTCAGTCTCGAACACTCAGCCTCCACGATACCCTCCAAGTCGAAGAAAGCCGAATTACAAAACGATCTACAACAGAAGCGCGAACTCATCAAACAGCTTAATCAGCGGATATACGAGCTTAACCAGCTGGACGACACGGATTCGGAGGGGTCTGTAGATTCCGACGACGAAGACGCAGACCAGTTCCCGTCGTACGCACCAAGAGTAAAGACGGAAGCCGGACGGGATGTGTCGACAGCGACAGAAGGCAACGAAGCATTCCAAAATGCAGCACAGGGCATCGCATCAGAACTCCGCCGAAGGGGAAAGGCGGACGCGAATACAGCGGGAGCGCAATCAGCATCCGGCAACTCGTTGTTTCCTTCCAAGCCCACGACAGGCGACCCGTCGCTCGCAAAAACCGAGGCGCTCCTCTCTCACGAACGCAACGAACAAGAGGAGCTCACGACAGACTTGCTCGATATGGCGCGGCAGTTGAAGGAACAGTCGATACATTTTGGCAACACGCTCGAGGGTGACAAAAGCGTAGTGGATCGAGCGCTTGCTGGGCTGGACAAGAACACATTGAACATGGATGCTGCCAGCAGAAGAATGGGGGCACTGCGGAGGATGACTGAGGGCAAGGGTTGGTGGGACAGGATCAAGCTCTATTGCATGATCGCTGGGTTATGGCTAATCGCCTTCCTGATTGTCTTCGTTGGGCCGAAGATTCGGTTCTAGGGCATCACTGGATGTCGCAAACCTGTCAAACCATGTTTTACGTGGCACGCATCGTGAAGTCACACGCAAAGCTTTGCGGGTACCTTACACCAGCGTCAGGAACAGCATCACACGCTTAGCTAAGACACAACCAATCCACGCAATATTCATACTGCTTCACATGCAGTACAGCTCACTGTTCTCCACTTCGATCGCTCAATCTTGGACGCTCCAGCCATGATCGGGCCGCCCGATCCTCACCGCTGAGCCACGACGAATCTGGACCCTGCGCCATCTCGCAAGCTGCATGCAACCGCTTAGCGGCTCCGAGCTCCATCTTAAAATGTGCCTTGCCTCGACAACAACAACACACTGTATCATTGACGCTTTACACACACACACATTGGGTTGATATATTTAGTGTCGCGACAACATGGCAACCATGGAAATGCATTCATTGGGCTCGCGCTGTACGTATTCGATGCCGGACATGACTTTACCAACCAACGCTTTGTCGCTCGCAATCTACAATGCGCATTGGCTGACGTACTATTACAGCCCTGAACCACGCGTCCGCCGATACAGAAGCCGAGTACGACCGTCTCCGAGACCTTGCGCGCCAGGAGGCTGCGAAGCGATCCTCATGTTTCGACCGCGCGCATCAAGCATACGAATCCGGCGATGGAGCGCGTGCTCACGAGCTCTCCGAAGAGGGCAAAGCCCATGCAGCGAAAATGAACCAGTACAACAACCAGGCGCGCGACTACATCTTCAGGGAAAACAACGCCGAGGGCCGTGTGGCTGGCGATACCATTGACCTCCACGGCTTGTTCGTAGAAGAGGCCGAGGATGTCCTGGAAGAGAGGATTAGGGTTGCCAGGCAGAGGGGAGAAAGCCATCTTCATGTCATTGTGGGCAAAGGCAACCATAGCAGGAACCATGTCCAAAAGATCAAGCCGAGAGTTGAACAAGTGTGCCGTGAATTGGGATTGCAGTACCGCACCGAGGAGAACGAGGGTAGGATCTTCGTAAACCTCCAAGGTGGAGATGTCCACGAGATGCCACCGCCTCCCCAGGCACCGAGCTATGGTGGTTACCCAGGGCAGCACGGTGGTCAACATGGCGGTCAGCACCATGGAGGTCAGCCGCAGCATGGGGGTCAACAGCATGGTGGCCAGCAACACCATGGTCAACAGCAGGATAACAACGATGAGATTGAGCAGATGGTCAAGAAGGGCTTGCCTAAGTTGCTTAAGATGCTCAAGTGCTGCACAGTCATGTAAGGGCTCAGTTGGTCCATTCTTGTGCAGAGTGAGAGAGGATGGCTTGGAGGGTCGGAAAGATCTCCAAGGCACATGTCACGTTGGGAAGATGTTGATACCCCTGGGTCGGATGAATGGAATGTGTTGGATAAGGAGCGCTGTTACATTGTATGTAGGATCTGGTGGGTGTTTGGATGTTCTTGATATGACTGAGAATGGAGCTGTCTTTGCTTCACAGCTGTCGCAGTAGAGTGTTTATCACCTGAAGAGCTACGCGTGTTGGGCCTCTTTCGTACTGGAAAGAGATCCGCCACGCAAACTCAAAATCCATGCAAAAGTTTCGAAAGGATACAGAGATAATAGCATCATCAGGGACGGATGATGCTGTAAGACTGTGACGTGAAGTGGATGACCCACTTGGAGAAGAGAGATGAGTAACGCAATTTTACGCACTGAAGAATACCTGAGTGGAATACAAGCTCGTTTATACACGATGGTACCCAAGTTCCGCATAAGATAGTTATTTCCGTAGAGTCCTTGGAAGTGCTCACAAGAGTGACGAAATTGTGCATGCTGCAACCTGGGTAACACTCACCAAGCCGAGACATGCATGACATACTTCTAGGACGTAGTAAGTTGCAACGCGCTGACATCACAGTTGTACTCTGCTTGGAATGTTGGTACAACGGAGGCGTTCCCTCGCACCCGACGATGCATCTATCAATCAATGTTTGCCGAAGATGAGTGGCACAAAGATTGCCATAGTATTCGCAATAAATTCGTTGGGTGTACCGAATGTCTTGAGTGAAGTCGTGAATGACGTTCGGAGCTGCGGCCCGCTCCTCCTCCACTTTCCATGCATCTCGACCCTGAGCACCTTAGCTTCCTACACATAAACGACCACCACATAAAGTGCACAACATGATGACACAAACACAATCGCCGCCCATTCCGTCGCCTCCGCCAGACCTCAGCGCCAGACTCCCCAAGCTCATCCCCCGCAAACGCGCCCCCACATCGCGAGAACCGCCTTCTGCCCCTCCCCCACCGACGCCTTCGTTACCTGAGCCACCGAGCCTAGAGAGACATGCTTATACACGACCTTCGAGGCGTATATTGAGCCCAGAAGATCACCAACTCTTCCTCAAGAGTAAAACATGCACATTAGTCGAAGCTTTTGTCTTCGGCATCGCAGATTCGGTGCGCGACCGCAGCATTTCGAGCGTCAGGGATGAAGAGGTGACAGACACAGTCAAGACAGTCGTCCAGATACTAGCAGAAGCGGACAAGGTCTTGGAAAGATGTCCGCGGGAAGACACAGGGTCACGGTTCGGCAACCCAGTCTTCCGCACATTTCTCGACGAAGTTGAGATGTCATTGCCACTCTGGCACGAGAAACTAGGGTTGAAAGACAAGGCGCAGGTCGATGAGATGGCAACGTACCTCCATAACTCCTTCGGAAACAAGCGACGCATAGACTACGGATCTGGCCACGAGCTGAACTTCTTCCTCTGGCTTCTCTGTTTGAATCGCATCGGCATACTCCCTGGCACAACTTTCCCCGCGCTCGCCCTCGTCGTCCTGCCTGCATATCTGCGCCTCATGCGTCGCGTGCAAGAAGAATACTACCTCGAGCCTGCGGGCTCTCATGGCGTTTGGGGATTAGACGACTACCAGTTCCTCCCCTTCTTATTCGGCGCAGCCCAACTCCTTCATCATCCCTACATCACACCGAAAAGCATACACAACGCTTTGGTACTCGAAGAAGAGAGCAAGAACTATCTCTACCTAGACCAAATCTCCTTTGTCAACTCGGTCAAGAACGTTGAAGGTCTGCGCTGGCATTCACCTATGCTTGACGACATATCCTCGGCGAAGAACTGGTCAAAGATTGAATCCGGAATGCGCAAAATGTTCCGCAAGGAGATCTTGGAGAAGTTGCCTGTCATGCAGCACTTCCTGTTTGGCAGCCTGGTGCCGCCTGTTGATGGAATGAGTACCGAGGAGGAAGCGGGTGTGGAGAAGGAGGAAGAGGAGGAAGAGGGTGGAGAGGTCAAAGTGTTTGATGATGAGATGGGAAAGAGACATGTACACGCAAGTGTCGGCTGGGGAGATTGCTGCGGCATTCCCGTGCCGTCGGCTGTTGGTGCCGAGAGTGAAGCGCGGAAAGGTGGTGCTAGGGGGTTGCGGAGAGTGCCTTTTGACTAGAGGGAAAAACTGGGGTAGAGGGTGCAATGGCGTTCGGAAAAGATGACACTGGGCATACATGGCATTGAGTATACCTAGGTAGATGATCATCACGGATTGGCACATGTAATCATGACTAACAACTAGCTTCCTGTAGGTAGCCTTGAACCCATTAATATAGACTACGGCGTCCTGTGAAGCCGCCCATGCGACCTGATGTGTTCCAGCGTCAACTCTCTGATTTCGATTATCCGTTGAACAATAGTGTCTCTTACTTGCACCGGCTCGCTCTCCCCAGTTCTTCTATCAGTATATCTGTGGACTTCCAACGCACCATTCAACGCTTCCTTCCCGGTCTCTTGAGATACACCAAAATCACTTCTAGTCGGCACGAAAGTAGCATAGTTTCTCCACTCCTCCCCTGACTTGGTCACCGCCTGTGCAGTTATTTCGAGCTTCTCGTTTATTACCTCGAGATCCTTGTGCAATCTTGCATCGAGATTCCGGGCAAGTAAAGAGGAAATGGCTTTCCGCGTTACTGTCAATCTCCTCTTGACTTCTGTGCGTCGTTTTGTGGGTGATGGAGATATGGACTGAGGGATTTGAAGAATTTCCTTGTTTTTGGCGAGGGTTTGCGTTAGCGGTGCTGGAAGGATGGCGTCGACGCCGGTGTTGAAATTGCTTCGAAGAGGTGGGTCCTCTTGGTCTCGGAAGGGAGAGATTGGGACGGAGAGGGAGCTAGATGATTTTGACGTTGAGGGAGTTGTGTTTCCTGTCGTTATCAAAACATGGGTTCCTGGAGGGAGGGCGGCTGTTGCTGGCTCGTTGGTTATGTGATACGTTCTTTTCCGTCTGATGAGTAAGTTTGGGATGCTAGCAGACTCAAGTTAGATATAGATTATAGCAAGTTAACCGCTTCGAGGAAGGAAGTGCGAAGAGGAGAACTTACCGAGGAGTCTTCGCGTCCAACTTTCGATGAACAGGGTCGACTGGCGTCTCTTTTGATGGTGGAGTGAGACGAGGTCGTAGTGGTAAGGGGGAAATCTCTAGACGGCGATGTTGATATGGAGCTGATTCCGGCGGTAGCGCAGTAGAAATTGATGGCTCATTCGTAGCTAGCGGCCGAATGAACTTTTTAGTACGAGGACGTGGTGATGGTGAAGACACGGGAGCGGTAGTGCTGGTTGACTTTTTGATACGAACCGGCTCAGGATACTCGATATTCTGTAGGTCTGGTTCTGGTTTCAATACCGGTCGAGGCTGCTGTGGCGATAGCGAAGAGGAAGAAGAGGAAACAGAGATTGATGGCTTGTTGACACGCAACGGCTTGGATACCTCGACTTCGTGACGAGATGATGAAGGCTGTAGAAGGGGCATGGCTAAGATGAGGTATTGACAACAGTCGCTGAACAATATGGTATATAGATGCTGGGAACACAAGTAATAATACTGGCAGGCTGTATGTGTCTGGAGATGAGAAGTCTTTTGGAGTCCCCAGGTACCAAGCCCACACGTCTTCTTGTAGGCAAGTGGCGCCTGTATTTTAGGGTACTATTGGATGTTCATTCTTGC